CAAATAATCGTTAACTCAGGACAGAATGTCAATTCCATAAGAGTGGCAGCTCTGTGATGTCTCATCATGACATGGAGTTAATAGGATCATAGATTTAGAGCTGGAAGGGACCTGAGCAGCCATCAAATCCAACCCTCTCATTTTACAGATGGGACAACTGAGGCACAGGGAGAGCTAAAGTGGCTTGCCCAGGGTCATACAGTGTCCAAGGCAGGATTTGAACCCAAGTCTGCTCGATTCCAAGTCTGATGCCCCCTCCACCATGCCATGTGTCCGAGTTCAAAATCTGTCTCCAGCCATTCCTAGCCGAGTGACCACAGATGAGACATTTGACCCCCTCTGAGATTCTGTTTCTTCATTATAAAACAGAAAGGATCATAACCTGCTTCATAGGGTTACTGTGAAGCTAGAATAAGACTGACACTTGAAAACCTAAAGAACTGTACAAACGCTACTCATGTAAGTGCCATCATTGTTGGAGTCGTTACGCCCCTTCAGGGCTCAGCTCAGGTCCTCCCCGAGGCCTTGGACACATATCAGCTGGGTGATCACCTGTAAGAAACGTAACCTCTAAAGACACCAGGCAACTCTCTAACACTACAAATTACAGACAGTCACTGATATGCATCAGTGGAGGGAGTCCCCCTATAATGTGTTCTGAAGTGAGACTGTGGCGTGGTGCAGAAAGCACTGTACTTGAGATCACAGAACACGGTCTCAAATCCCAGCTCTGCGCCTTACTATGTGAGTGATCTTGGGTAAGACCCGCCCCTTCCTCCGAGTTTCAGACCCTCATCTGTAAAATGACAGGGGTAGAACTAAATGGCCTCTAAAGTTTCCTTCTACCTCTAGCTCTTCAGTTTTTTAACTAAATGCCAGCTTCCAGAGGCCAGGGACAATTCACGATTAATCTATTTTATAAAGTACCTGTAGTATGTAAGTTCCTTGAGGGCTGAGACTTTCTTATTCTTGTCTCTGCATGTCTAGTGCCTGGCATAGAGGACATCCGCAAGAAGTTGAACTGAATTGGACAGTATGCTTCATAATGATTTTGTAACATAACAACAATTTACATCCAATTGCCCAGAAGCTGTTCTTGGTCAGAAGAAAGAGTCAGAAGTTCATGCACAGAAGTTCATCCACAAATATTTGTGGAGAGCTCGCTATATGTGTGCAAGGCAGACCGAAAGGTACAATTTTCAAATGCTTAGACAACTGACTTCATAAACAAATTGAGAAGGGAGAACCGAGAGATGAAAGACAAATTCAAATTGATCCAAGGAATGATTTTTTGGAGGAAGGATTTTAGAAATTACAAATAAAACAGTGAAGCACCTCATGATAATGACTGTATCCCACTAGAGGTCTGCCTTTGCGGAACTACTGAAAGAGTAATAATTTTTTTTTTTTTTTTGGTGAGGCGATTGGGGTTAAGTGACTTGCTCAGGGTCACATAGCTAGCAAGTGTTAAGTGTCTGAGGCTGGATTTGAACTCAGGTCCTCCTGACTCCAAGGCCAGAGCTCTATTCACTGCACCACCGAGCTGCCCCTGGAATAGTAATAATAACAATACTAATAATAGCTAGCATTTGTATAGCATCTACTATGTACTAGGCACTGCACTAAGAGCTTTACAAATCTCTCATTTGATCCTAACAACCACCCTGAGAAGTAGGTGCTATTATTAATGCCCATTTTACAGTTGAGGAAACTGAGGCAAATAGAAGTTAAGTGACTTGCCAAGGTCATACAACATAACGGTCTGAAGTCACATTTGAACTCAAGTCTACCCTGACTCCAAGCCCAGTATTCTACTCATTGTATTATCTAGGTGACCTAGGAATAGTCATAGCTTAATGATTTTTCTATGCCCTGTCTGGGGAAAGAAGTCATTATTTCCTTTCCAAACCAATGAAAGGAGGCATCCCTTTTGCTAATCCAAGAGAAGAGAAGGGTTCTCTCCTTTAGACCAGAGTCATGAGCAAAGAAATTTACTCTCCATAAATCCAGTTGAGGCTTGCCTTCTATCAGAGATGAGTCTATTTTTTTTAGATAGTTCCTTTGGAACCTCTTGAGGGGACCAATTTATGTACTTAATTGCATCTGGCAGTAAAAATTATACTAGCAATTATTTCCAGCAAATCATGTGCATCTTTTCACTTCAGCTTTTCCATAATCAAGCAACATCTGGCAAAGATAATCACCTTTCATAATGAAAGTCACTGTTTCCTGAAAAACTCTGATAGTCAGATAAAAGTACTGTAAAACAGGAGACATGTGGGCTTCTCTGCCTCCTTCTGTACAGATGCTGAAGTTTCCAAAGTTCTTGAAGTTTCACTTTTGATGCTTTTATCTTTTGCTAAGTCCTCTATAATTCCACTGTATATTATATCCTAACCACTTCAGAATTACATGCACTCTGGACTCTGTTAAAGATTAACTAATTTTATGCTTTAAAAACAAAGTAGGCAAACTCATCTTCTGGATAATTAGTGATTAAAAATATCCTTGATCCTTAGTTTATTGATAGTAGCTCAAAATTTTCATTCACTTTGTTACTTCAAATTGATCTCAGTCAGTCGATAAGGATTTATTAAAGCACCTACTGGTGCTAGGTACTGTGCTAAGTGCTAGGCATATAAAGACAGGTAAAAGACAGTTCTTCTCCTCAAGGACCTCATAATGATCTCTTAATTTTCATGCTTACCAATTCATAAGCCTACAGGAATGATTCCATTTTATTATGTCAACTAGATGAACATATTCAAAATTTTACTTATTGGCTCCTACATTTATTATTTTATTGCTGATCACCAAGTTTAAGATGGGCAGTTGGGTGGTGAAATGGATAGAGTACTGGGCCTGGAGCCTAAGTTCAAATCTGGTCTCAGACACTTACTAACTAGGTGACCCTGGGCAAGTTACTTAAGCTGTTTGCTTCAGTTTCCTCATCTGTACAATGAGTTGGAGAAGAAAATGGCAAACTACTCCAGTATACTTGCCAAGAAAATCCCCAAATGGAGTCATGAAGACTTAGACATAACTGAGACGATTGAACATGGTTTGTTTGTTTTAAACTTTATTTTTTTGTTTGTTTTGGTGAGGTAATTGGGGTAAAGTGACTTGCCCAGAGTCACACAGCTAGTGAGTGTTACATGTCTGAGGCTAGATTTGAACTCAGGTCCTTTTGACGTCAGGGCTGGTGCTCTATCCACTGTGACACCCAGCTGCCCCTGAACAAGGTTT